GTGGGAGGACTTCTGCCCCATCATTGATGTCATTGGACCCTATCATTGGGAGAAATTGTGCCTCATCATGGTGTCATTGGAAGGAGTTGTGCCCCCTTCATTGGTGTAAGTGGCGGAAATTCATTGGTGTCAGTGGATGATAATAGTGCCCCAAGGGCCTGATAAAAGCAAGCAAAGGACAGCATCTGGCTCTTGGGCCGCAGTTTGGAGACCACTGATGTAGACTATGTGGCCAGACATATGTGGACACATCAGCCAATTATTGAGTTCAGGTGTTTCAAGTGAAGGGTGCTGCTAACACAACAAAGACATCTTAGAGAACTGTGCACTTCCAACCTTGCTGTAGCAGTTTGGGGAAGGCGCTTTTCTGTTCCAGCATGACTGTCCTCCTGTACACAAAGCAAACATTACAAAACATGGTTTGAGGAGTCTGGTGTTGAGGAAATCAGTCGCCTGCACAGATTCTTGTTCTCAACTGAACACATTTGCGATGAAGCAGAATGCAGCTTGTGATCTAGGTCTTCTCATCCAACATCAGTACCTGACCTCACAAATGTTCTTTTGGGTGAAGTAATACCTCTTCTGGAATATGCAGTTCAGTTTTGAGCACCAATTCACAAAAAGGATATCGGGGAACTGGAGAAAGTGTAGAGAAGGGAAACTAAACTGATAAGAGGCATGGAGGAACTCAGCTTTTGAGGAAAGATTAGAGGAACTGAATGTATTCTCTCTTAAGAATAAGAGATTAAGGGGAAATATGATCAACATGTATAAATACATCCATATAGTGAACTTGGTGTAGAGTTAATCTCTTTAAGGTCATCACAGAGGACAAGGGGGCACTTTTTAAGTCTAGAGGAAAAGAGATTTAATCTCCAAATATGGAAAGGCTTCTTCACGGTAAGAGCTGTGAAAATGTGTAATCGTCTCCCTCAAGAGTTGGTTCTGGTCAGCTCAGTAGAATGTTTTAAAAAAAGGACTGGATTCTTTCCTAAATGTACACAATATAGCTGGATACTAATATTTATAGGTAAAGTATATCCAGAGAATGTTCAACTGCCTCTCGGGGGATCAGGAAGGCATTTTTTGTCCCCTGCAGGAGCAAATTGGATCATGCTTTACTGGGTTTTTTTTACCTTCTTCTGCATCAACTGAGGGTATAGGATTGTATATATTGTTTTTCCCTTTCACTGGTTGAACTAAATAGACATGTGTCTTTTTTTTTTCAACCAGACTAACCATGTAACTATGCATGGGCTCACATTCCCACAAACACACTCCACAGTCTGGTGTAAAGAGCCTTCCCAAAAAAGAGTGGAGGCTCTTCTAGCCACAAATGGAGACAATTCCATATCAGTGCCCATGGTTTTGGAATTAGATGAGCAAGCTCATGTAAGTGTTATACCCATGTCATGTAATACATAAAATAAATCATATTTATATGAGTTATCTAGCACCCCTGCCAAATAGTATAACTGGATTCCTGATTTTCACAGCAGTAAAGCAGTACAGCTTGGCCCCCTGAGCATGCTAAGTGGACAAGGAAAGTGCAAAACCACACCAATGGAGTCATCACTCAGTCATCAATGGAGTCATCACTCAGTAACCTCTAAAGCCTAGTAAACACGATTAAAAAAAAGATGAAAAATACCACTTTTGAAGCATCCGTACGATAATCTGATCTTTAGTACCCAGCTTTCATACTAAATTATTTGAAGGGACGATACCAGATCGTACGATATTCATTTAAACAGTACAGTATTCGTCCGACAAAAATTGGAAGAGCAAGACCACGCATGCTCAAAAACGAAAGAATACAATACCTCTGAATTTGTATTCTGTCGTACGGGAATTTTCGTAACTCTAGTAATCTCTTCATTTTTTTTTTTAAAGCTACTCTCATATCAAAAATGGTCGACGATCATTCGTCATATATTTTCATCGTGTGTACCAGGCTTAAGTGTTAGATTGGTTGCACTGTGCAATGTAGCAGATAGAAGGACAAATTTTAGGTACTTTTAAACAGTTTTTTATTTAAAAATACATATTAATAAGCAGATAACATTAAAAAGTGAATCTTTAAATATCGATCTGATGTTTAGCTTTCCTGACATTGAAAAAAAGAGATTTATTGTAGCCCACATTAATTGTAAATCTTGTCTCTATACAGCCCTTCTGGGAGTATTTTTAGTTCGAATATAAACACAGAGCCTATATTCTCCAACTGACTGGAGCTGCAAGCTCAGCAGGCCTCTCACTTTACTAGACAAACCCAGTGGCCCCGATCACACAGAAACTGGAGAATAACACAGCGCCATGACAGAGAGAGGGGGCGGGGGTTGCTGTATATTAAAAGGCCTCTAATTTAAAGTGTATGTCCATCCACAACTTTTTTTTTCTGGTTTTGGATAGAGAAGAGAAGAATTAGAACCCGTCATTTTTTTGGCTATGCAGCTTCTGGGATTTGAGCTAAACACAGAAGAAACATGCATACCGGAACTGCTTTAGTTATTAAGACTTTAAAAGTCATAAACATCCTCATTTGATCCACAAGCCTTTGCTGTACTATATGGCTGCATAGTATTACGAAGGTAATGACACCAACAAGTCTTCAGTCTTGGTGTCACTGCCCCGCCTTCTCTTTGGACCACACCCACCCAGCACTGCCCTCTCTGCTTTGAGCCTGGAATTAGGCATTCTGACTGCATGCTGAACTAAAACAGATTTCGAGGCAGAGTGCTAAATACATACCCTGAGCCGCTTTACCAGTCACTGATGTGTAATTACATTCAGATCCAGATACGTCCTCCAAACAGCTTAGCCATATCAGTGACTTCACTCTTTTTTTACTGCGGTTAAGCAGATTAGTCATTGACCTGCCTCTAGCTTGTGAATGGACATTGAAAAAGAGGCAGCATACTCATGAGGCCATACCCATAAAGATTTCTCCTGTGCAGCCTTCAAAATCCATAGATTCCCCATCCATGCTAAACAGTCTGGACAGATTAATCTCCTGCTGTCGACTGATGTATTCTGACAGCCAGCAACACCTTCGGCTGTCAGAAGACTCGAACACTGACTGCAGCTCATTAGATGCAGCCACAACTTTTTTTTTCCACCTGTCTTCTTCAATATTTCATCTGAAGTTTTGCCAAGCTGGGTGGTGTCAGCAGGCCACCTACAGCTCAAATTTTGAAATGAACCAGCCAAAATTTGAGCCATGTGTGACCAGCTTTACTTTTCCTCCTGCAAGTATGTTTAAGCTGTTGACTGACAGCAATAGGTCTCTGATTTACGATGTTGACCTGCCCTCTCCCTGTGTAAGTGCTGCTATGTATAGTATTATAAAGAGATAACATCAAGACAGATTCAGATATATATAACTTTATGTAGCAATAAAATACATTTTTAATGAATACATTGTAATTTTTGTTTCTTTTTTTTTAATCTACCTGGGATGTAAGATTGCACTTTCACTTGGCATGTGACAACTCAATGTAAAGACAGATGTCCAGCCATTCAAGCTGAACTCCAGGCAAGAGGATAAATACAGAAATGAAATACATCGGGAAGCTATTTTACCTCCCAATGTATTTACATTTCTGTCCAGCCAGTCTAGAGATTTATACAGCTCTGCCACACAGCTGCGATCTGTCTTATTTTTGTCTCTTGGAGTTAAGTAGGAGAAGCAACAGAATGATGAGCTTGTCTCTCTGCTCTCTCCTCCTATCATTATGCTCCGTGTTAGCACATGAGCAGTGCAGCACACCTGATTACATGCTTGTGTTGCATCTTCTTCCACCAGTGTAAGCAATGCTGTACAGCAGCGGTCCCCAACCACCATGGCACCAGGGATTGGCCTCATGGAAGACAACCCCTCCACAGACTGTGGGATTGGGGGTGAAACCCAGATTCCCCACATGCGCAGCCCAATACGTGGTGGCCTGTAAACTGAATGACCCCTCTAGCAAAAGAATCTCTCTGCATAACATCGCCCAGCCATTGTCTCATTGGCTTCTCATCATCTCCTAAGTCCCTGTCCACCAATCATTTAGGTAGAGAGGCAGAGCCCTCTAATTAGCATGTCTGATGTCCATGACGTCACGTAGTACTGGTTGTGCCTGCGAAGAAGTGCTACATGTTCTCCGTATAAATAGCTGAGATTTATCTTCTCCTCCAATAGTCGCTCGAATGAGGCCTTGGGGTAGGACATATAATAGATATAGCAGGAGATTCCCAAGAGGCAACACAAGTGGCTGCAAATACAAATCAAGCCTCGCTCACCCGCTGCCCACCCCTCGCAACGTGGCTGGGCACCCAACAGGCCACACACTCGTCCACTGCCCCGGGACCTCTGCTGTACAGGGACTGCAACAGGCTGATACCAGGTCAAATTCAGGTACTTAGATGGCTTAGAATAAAGATGCATTTACTGATGTGTTAATAAATACAGAGCTGAAATAAATTGTGAATTGTTTTGTATTCTGTGGTTAAACTTTACAAAAACTGAATTGAAAAATAAATTCAAGCTATTTGAACCAGCACATTAGTACGCTAAAGGTTGTGTTGTAAAGTCGCCTGGAATTAATCTTTATTATCATTTAGGAAGGCAAGTATTTTGTGCATCAAGCTTGATCCTGTCCCTTCACCACTATCACGTTCCACCGCTCAGTGTTACCTCTTTTTCAGGTATAAAGGCACTTGGTCCTCTTGATGGTTGAGAGGTTATGATTTTCTTATCCTAAAATAGAATGGACAAAAGGGCTTATAGTATACTGAATAATGGTAAATATCTTTCCTGACCACTATAATCAGATACTGAAACATGTTTAAGATTGGAATGGATGTGTGTGCATAGAACATAGAAATGACAGCAAAGTAATTTTACAACTATCAAAATAGAGAAGTGATTTGATTTGTAATTGGAGTTTGTTGGTCTGTCTCACCAGCCGGCTTATATATCTCTTGGGTACTCCTGCACCTAGATCTCCAAAACCATAGCCTATGGCTCTGTTAGGGCCTGGTTATACAGGTGGCTCTTGCTGCCCCTCTGCGGTATATAGCTTTTCAGAGGTGATCAGGGGCGGACTGACCATTTGGAAACTCGGGCACTGCCTGAGGGCGCGGGGTCAGTAGGGGGCCCCATGAGATGCCCCTGGTACCTTTTTCATAGGCTTTTTTGAGTTTGGGCAAGGACACAGGGGCCCCATGATCCCCTATTGCCCGGGGGCCCCATGAGTTGTCAGTCCGCCCCTGGAGGTGATTGATAGGCAGTTAAGAAGCAACATGTCACCTCCTGACTGCCTGTTTTAACCTCAAAAATGCCAACCCACCACATTGCAACTGCAGTTATAGCACAGCCCATTTCACTTAAGTGAATGACTTAAAGCAGAGCTCCACTCAAAAGGGGAAGTTCCGCTTTAAGGACTGCTCCCCCGTTCTCCACCTTTGGGGGTCAAGGGTGGAGCTGGTACCTGAATTTGACTGTTACCAGCTCCCACTTCCGGTCCGATCGTCTAGGCAATCGGAAGGTGTCCTCCCTCCCTGTAGTCTTTTGGGACATGTGACAGGTCCCAGAAGACTACAGGACCATTCAAGAAGCGCATGTGCAGTGGGTACCCGGCTGTGAAGCCGCAAGCTATCACAGCCGGGTGCCCACACTGAAGATGCCGGCCTCCTGGGATACAGGATGGCCGGAGAAACAGGCTGTGCGGGGGACACACCGCGGGACCGAGGGACAGGTAAATGGCTGGTTTTAAAAAGTCAGCATCTACAGTTTTTGTAGCTGCTGACTTTTAATTGTTGACAGGGTGAGTGGAACTCCACTTTAAGTCATTTTCTTCCCAATGAGCAAAGGAACAGGGTATCTTTATTGTTACTTTATCATCCTGCAACAATAGGAGTGAGATTCCACATCAGTGAGTCAGAATCTGTTGGAGAGAAAAAACCCTAAAACACAAGAGTCCAGGGGGGTGAATCAACCAAGCAGAATATTTCCATAACCAAAATATCAGTTTAAGATGAACCTTTCAATATATTTCATTTAAGAACATGCAATAGTCCCGGTAGATTATTTTTACATACAGTTGTGTTCAAAATAATAGCAGTCAGACATCACTAACCTGATCAATCACTGTTTTTGGTAGAAATGATATTTCTACATGGCAAATAATTTACTAGCAGGTGTAGTAGAGTAATAGAAATCCAACAGACCCCACAGTCATGACATGCATGCTGCTGATTCTGTGTCATTGAATCACTCATTGAAAGGGGCATGTTCAAAATAATAGCAGTGTGGAGTTCTATTAGTGAGGTCATTCATTCTTTGAAAAACAGGTGGCAATTATTGCCCTTATTTAAGGAAGGAAGGCAGCAAATGTTGTACATGCTGGTTACGTTGCATTTCTCTCTGAAATTCTGAGAAAAATGGGTTGTTCCAGACATTGTTCAGAACAGCGTACCTTATTAAAAAGTTGATTGGAGAGGGGAAAAATATATAAAGAAGTGGAGAAAATGATAGGCTGCTCAGCTAAAATGATCGTAAATGCTTTAAAATGGCAACCAAAACCTGAAAGACGTGGAAGAAAGCGAAAAACTACCATTGGAATGGATAGAATAGATAAAATGGCAAGGACTCAGCCAACAATCAGCTCCAGGAAGATGAAAGAAGGTCTAAAGTTACCTGTGAGTATTGTTACAATTAGAAGACACCTATGTGAAGCCAAGCTATCTGCAAGAAGCCCCCGCAAAGTCCCACTGTTGAAAAAAAGACGTGCTGAAGAGGTTACAATTTGCCAAAGAGCACACTGACTGGCCTAAAGAGAAATGGCGCAACATTTTGTGGACTGATGAAAGTAAGATTGTTCTTTTTGGGTCTAGTGGCCGGAGACAGTTTGTCAGATGACCCCCGAACACTGAATTCAAGCCACAGTACACTGTGAAGACAGTGAAGCATGGTGGTGCAACCATCATGATATGGGGATGTTTCTCATACTACGGTGTTGGGCCTATTTATCGCATACCAGGGATCATGGATCAGTTTGAATACATCAGAATACTTGAAGAGGTCATGCTGCCTTATGCTGAAGAGGAAATGCCCTTGAAATGGGTGTTCCAACAAGACAACGACCCCAAACACACCAGTAAATGTGCAACATCTTGGTTCCAGACCAACAAGATTGACGTTATGGAGTGGCCAGCCCAATCCCCGGATCTTAATCCAATAGAAAACTTGTGGGGTGACATCAAAAATGCAGTTTCTGAGGCAAAACCAAGAAATAGAGAAGAACTGTGGAATGTAGTCCAATCATCCTGGGCTGGAATACCTGTTCACAGGTGCCAGAAGTTGGTTGACTCCATGCAACACAGATGTACAGCAGTTCTCAGAAACAGTGCTTATACAACTAAATATTCATTAAGTGATTCAAAGGAAAGCAAAATCTTCAAAATTTTTCAGTTTATATAGTGAATGTTTGAGTTTGTAAAGAAGAATAAAAACACTGCTATTTTTTTTGAACAGTCTAATATTCACTTTTCTTCAATTTTTTTTAGAGGAACAACACAAATTTGATATATTTTTCTTCATGTTTTGATTTGGAATAGAATGTGTCGTGTTCCCAATGCATTTGTGTGTATGGAAATAAAAGCTATTAGAAGGATTTTGAGCTTTATTCACTTTTTTTCAGCACACTGCTATTATTTTGAACACAACTGTATATAGATGATTTGACCAACTTTAATTGATTATACTGTAGGTAATTAGTTCTAACATAATACATTAAAACTCTCTGTCTTCTACATCTGATGTTAAATCTCTGTAACCCCTTGACGCCGGTGTAACACAAATATGCGGCCTCACAGAACTGGGCTTTTTTTCCATGGGGCAGCATATTTGTGTACCTGTCTTTCTGCTGGAGGCGCGCCCACAGCGTGCTCCCAACACAAAGAGCAGGGTGTCACTGAGAGCCCCGGGTCACGTTCTAACGATTGGGACCCAGGACTCCCGAATCTGGGTCACATGATTGCTGTGATAGCCTCTGATTGGCTATCGCAGTGATCAGTCACTGCACAGCCCGGCCCCCTTGGGTTTTTTTTTTCTCTATGAATGAAGGAGAGAGATACATTGTATCTCTCTAACTCCTGGCATAGAGGGAAGAAAAAATGTTTGTAAAAAAAAAAAAAAAAAAAAAAAAAAAAAGATAAATAAATAAAATTAAAAATAAAGAAAAAATACCTAGATCAAATTTTGATCTAGTTCAGTGCCAGGGTTAGCGTTTGGGTCAAGGTCAGGGTCAAAGGTCAGTTAGTGTCAGTGTGTCCTAGGTAAAAAAAAAACAAAATGCACACTATTGTTTCTGGGCTGTACTGTGGGTACAAACAACAAATAACATACACATATATGGTATCGCTATGATCGCCAAGAGCTGGAGAATTTATTTTGGGTTGTACGTTGGTGGTAGGTTATGGCAGTAACAAGAAACACACAGATAAATTAAAAAAATAATTTTTTTTTTACTATTTTTAACCTACGTTAACCATCGTTCAGAAGTGTCCTGTGTACATGGGGCCTAAAGTGGAAGTTCTGCTGCCTGACCTCCCCCCCCCCCCCCTCCTTCCAATACCACATATGGTACAATAACATTTTTAACAGAGGAGTAGGTACCTTAGTTTTGATAGTTCCCCCCCCCCCCCCCCCCCGACCGAACCTGCAACTTTACTGGGACATGTCACTGGTCCCAGAAGGTTGCAGGACCATTTACAAAGCGCAGCGTGGGGCGCGCATGTGCAGAGGGAAGCCATCGATGAAGCCGCAAGGAGTCACAACTGGTTTCCCCTCGTTAACATGATGGCACCAGAAGAATAGTGAAGGACCAGCCAGAGTGAGGTCAGCAATGAATCCCTGGACAAATAAGTGTCCTTTCAGTATTTGTAACTGCGGACTTATTTTTTTTCTTTCTAGGGTGAAAATACTCTAACAATGCATGGACAGCTTTCATGTGATGTAGTCTACATCAACCAAGGAGGCACCATGACGTCCAACAAGGTGATGTACTGGGATGGTTAGTAACATTGGGGTCATAGTGAAGTTTTGTTTCAAAGTACTTATCAGAAAGCCCATACAACTCTTCCTGTTCCTCCTAAGTCCTCATGCACACTGGACGTTTTTACAGCGGCTGTTTTTGGCTTTTGACATTTTTTTCTACAGCCAGTAAACTCCCCAGCATGTTATCCTATGTGTCCATGCATACACAACTGTAATCAACGTTTTTTGGCTGGGACATTTTTTGGCTGGAAAAAACCCCAGGACCTATAGGGTTTTTAGGAGTTTTTTAGCTGTAAAAACGCTCTAATGCTGAAAAATGTGGCAAAATGCCGCAAACCAGCATTTTCTGGAGGTTTTTTGATCCAAAAAAAATATAATTTTTTTTGTAAAAAAAAATGCTAAAAACGCAAATGTGGAAAAACGCAGCTAAGCGCTAATGCAAAAACGCTAAAAAACTCATGTTTTAGTGTGACTGTACACAACTGATGTTACCAGCATTATCAAAACGTCCCGTGTGCATGAGCATTAGTGCAGGCCATACATGGTTCAAATTCCAAACAATTTTTCGTTCGGTAATCCGATGGGGCCATCAATGATTGCGAAAGTCGACTGACCAAGTCATAAAGTTCACCCCATATAACAGGCGAAAGTTCTGTTTCTTCCAGGTCACGGCTCATGTGTATATTCTTTTCAGAAAAATGATCATACGATTTGACCATCGAGTCAAAAATTGGTAGTTTTTCATTAATTTTCCAACATGCCCGATCATCGAAAAGGGGAGGAACCACGAAAATCGGCCGATGCCATTGACCCACTAACAGAAAATCGTACCTAAGAATAATCGGCTGATTTTCGCTCTGACGAAAAATCGGTCGAATTTCGACCCATGTATGGCCGGTCTTACTGTGGTATCTGCTGTCTACAGGACATTCTGCAAGTCACCTTGCTAGAGGTACGTGTCAGCTGAGTATTTATGACAGGTGATCACATAGCACAAACCCACAAGACTTTATCTCTGACTAAGGAGCCG